ATGACAGATACCTACCATATATCCTCATGGGAAGCCTGACTGTGCTGATAGGGATCCTCACCCTGTTTCTTCCTGAGAGCTATGGCAGTGCTCTGCCTGAGAGCTTTGAACAAATGCTGAAGGTGAAGTGGTAAGTCGGCCTTCATTCATCCCATCTTCCACAAGAATTCAGGGCTTCTTTGTACAAAATCTCTTTTTACAATGAGAAAACATTTCATCGGATCTATTGCAAAACATGAGAGCTTTCAGAGTGCCCTTTAGATCTGTTGCTGTTAATTCTACAGTCAGCTCTGAACCTGAGCACTGATGTGCTTGAAGGTGAGCATTGCAAATAAATGCTGACCCCCACCAGGTGCTGCTTTGGGTACCCTAAGCAGATGTGCCCACTGAAATCTGTGTCATACATCGCAGTGCTGATGCAGTGCAGACAGTGCTTGCTAGTGGCTGTGGTTGGGAAATCAGTGCAGAAGGAGACTGAATTAGTTCAAGTGCAGCTGCACAGACACCATACACCACTCAGCCTTCTGAGGGAGAGTGAACAGAATTTGCCCTTCTAGGGCAAAAAGCCAACCGAACAAAATAAGCACATGGAATTGCCTGTAGCTAATGCCTGGTTGGTAAAGGAGCTGCCATTGTGCTTTCAGGGTAAGAATATTTTTCAGGCCGAGTTCCTTGATAAGAGCATGCTGCTCTTTTTTGCAGCTAGGGACTTCTCATATACCTGACGTTGCTTTTAGCTCTGCAGTTGATGTCCAGATTCCCTTTGCAGACATCTTGCATAAACAGAATGAAGTAACTGAATTACGGTCAGTGAATCACGCTGAAGCTCAGAATGTTGTTTCCTTCTCCCATCCAGAAGGGCATCCTCCAGAGAAGGCCTGTTTTTTTTTCCAGTGTTTGTATCAGTAGTGTAACATGGTTATTTTTGCAGTGCTAATTTGGAGGGCTCGGTGTCTGCTCTCACTCTGTAAAATGTTCTCTGCCTTCTCAGTCTTTTACTTGCTTTCAGTTTCAGGAATGGGCAACAAACCACTGGCACTAGGAATTCAAAGGAGAGTCCTAAAACTCTCACGACACCGTTTTGAAGAAGGATGCACACACTCAGAGGGGCTGGAAGAACAAGACTTCAAAAGGCATTTTCTGCCACAGGAAAATGAACAAAAACCCAACAGCCAATGCTATGGCACTGTAGTTATTGTCCCTTGTGCTACTGTACCCATGTACCTAATTTCTGAACAGATGCTGTCTGCTCCCATAGGGCTCTTAGTTTGTAATTTAGTGTTCTGATTCCTGGAGTGTGTCAGCAGGTCCAGCTCCTGTTGAGAAACAAAGGTCTGCATGTGCTAAACTTGAGGAGTAGTAATACAGTGCACTCAGTCATGTACTCCTTGAAAGCTGCTAAGAGAAAAGGAAGAAGGCAGCAGCGGTGATGGTGGTGGTTTTCTCACGCTGTGCATTCTGACTGGAGGAAGGGAAGCTGGGTGTGCCTTTGAACATCTCACACATCTCTGATGGAAAGATCCCAGCCTCATTTCAAATCTGTAACCAAGGCCTGGGATCCACTTCTGATCCATGTGTCCCTATAGAAGCTGATGCTTTTTCATCAGGCCTGAGCCTGCTGAAGCCGCTGGGCTTTGCCAGTGTTGAGGTGTAAGGACTGAGCAGGGCTCTAGCTTGCTGATTCCTTTAGATGGGCCATGCCCACCTTCAAAAGAAACAGGCTTTATCGACTAAGTGGTCCTGTTCAAACATGCTCTGCGTTTTCAGCTTTTGTGTTTCTCATGGTACACTGACATAAGCAACTTCTGTATCTTTTTGTGGTTCTTTTTCAAAGCATTTCATTTCTCCTCTGAATATATGCTACATTATGCTGTACCTTCAGAGAAAACTCAACTCAGTTTTGCAAGCCTTTACAGAAACCTTTGTGCCATTTACAAATTTAAAGGAGGTTTGATGCTTGCAAAAATCAGATGTTCTCTACAGGAGATTGTAATGTGCAGCTATTAAGAACTGAAAAGGGCTCACTGGGGACCATACTTTTTTTTATTTTCTTTTTTCTTTTTTTATCCAAAGCAAAAATAGTGCTGACAAAGCCAGTATTTTGTTTTTCAAGACCTATAGCTTATGTGTGTGGTTTCTTTTTAAAGTTCAGCAAAGCTAGATGAGACGAAATGTTGAATGTAGTAGAGCGTAGATTTGTGCTACTACTGTTTTACAAGCACTGCATAGTTTGAGAAAAAGTTTAATGCCTTTTACTGCTCTGTTTAATGGTTGTGTTTGGACTTCTTGGCCGCATGAAGTCTCTCAGGCTGGGTAGGCAGATTTTTATCTTCTATGAAAACCATTTAGTGGTGATTCACATTCCGTTAAGGCCAACAAAAGCATGCAGTCTCCTCTCTTAATGTGGGAGTTCATGGCAATTTGTCTCATGTTGGCGTTTTGCAGCAAGTGAGCATCTCCCTGTAAGTTCAAGCACAACTGTAAAGGTTTATAACATTTAAATGCAAGGAACTCGTGCAATCATCTCAAGCTGCTCTTTGGGACGTAGCAATACTACTTCCTTTAATATTAATTCTCTGCAGTCATGCTTTTTGCCATAAAAGTCATGTGCCATAAGGCTAACCCACGTCCTCATCCCTTCTCAAACTGGAATTTCCTCAGTGACGGCAGTATTTAATTCTTCATTTTACTTGTTGCAAAGTTGATCTATCCAATAACTGTTGAAGCATAACTAGATTTCTGAACAAAACCTTCCTGTTGGCGTAGGACAGGTCTGAGGGCTTGGATAAATATAGGTGGCCTGTATTTGTATGAAGATTTTTATATTAAGTTCATACTTATTTTATGTGATTGTAGGCTTAAGTATTTCTGAAAGGTAAATATTTTTATATTCTTGAACTTTTTAGTATCTTAAAACTAGATTCCATTTTTTAAATAAGGAAGGGGGGTTGTGGTTTTTTTAAATGCTTTGTTTTAATTGGTCTTATTTTCCTTGCTTTTACCATTGATCAAAAGCTAGTGTCATATTTTAGTATTTTTAATAGCAAATAAAAAAAAAAAAAAGCAAGAGTGGAATGCATTATTGACAAGAATGTGATGTTGTTATACGGACTCAGTGTGTGTGAGCACAGTCAGAATGAGAAAATGAGATTGCTTCAGCTGATGAAGCACTTGTGAGGAGGATTTCTGTCCTCTGACCATAGCTTTCCCAGGCCAGAACAGGGATTTCTGAAGGAACTCAAAGAGCAGCAGCCTGCTGAAGAATCATAGAGGGACGAATCTGGAAGGCAGGAGTGCCAGATTCTGGCAAGTTACTGAATTTTTAACTGTAAAGCTGAAGAAAACAGAATCGGCTTAGTAACTATTGACAGAAAATAAAGGCATTTCTGATGAGGAACCCAAGACTTTCACTGCAGTCTTCAGTGAGCTGTGTGTCAGATGCTCGGTGGGCTCACTGTGGGACCTGTGTGCTCACCTCAGCTGGGAGATGCACACACAGCTCTGACCAGAGGATGGGAGGGAAGCACAACTGGATGCTCCCACCGATCGCACTGGGCCTCAGCTCTTTCCTCTGTCACATTTACCTGGGTCTCTCTGTGTAACCTCTTATTGTGGGTAAGATCTGGCACTGGTTTGTTGGATACCGTAAAGAACACATAAACACATAGTTGTTGTCACCTGGGAACTCCTGTCTTTATTGGAATAAAACATACACTAGCATTGTGTAACCTACTTTCTGTGTATTTTGTAGTTGAAATATAAAGTCTCCTAAATTTAACACTTTATTTATAAAGATGCTTAAATAAGTAATTAGAAATGAACTTAGTGTGCATAAGTTATGAAAATAAAAACTCAAACTCTTCCACGCAAGAAGCTGCTCTTCCCAGTTCCCTGTGAGCAACCCGGACTTGACCGTAGCAGCATTTCAGCCTTGCACCATCATCAGGCATTGACCATGATGCTGTTTTGTCCTTGCACCATGCACCTGGCTCTGACCATGGCAACATTTGGGCTTTGCACCTTAGACCTGGCCTTGGCTTTGGTGGTATTTTGGATTTGCACTGTGAACCTGGCCTTGACTATGGTGTCATTTTGGCTTGCTGGAAAGAAGTAATCCCAGCTGTCAGGCCATTGTCCAAAGGCAAACTTGAGGCCTCCCTCCATTGCCTGCTGCCTGCAGCACACCAGGGGCTCATCCCTCGCTCATCCCTTGCTGCCAGCCTTAGGCTGAGCAGAGCAGGAGCCAGAATCCTGGAACTGCGGGAGTTGGAATGGACCTCTGGAGATCGTTTAGTCCCAACTCCCTGCTAAAACAGGCTCCCTACAGCAGCTGCACAGGAAAGCATCCAGGCGTGTTTGGATACATCCAGAGGAGGAGATGTCCCCACCTCTCTGAGCGCTCTGTGCCAGGGCTGTGCCACCCTCAAAATTCTTCCTCATGTTCAGATGGAACTTTCAATCACTGCTCTTCTGCACTGCTGCAGCTCCAAGAGGCGTTTATATGTTAAATTAGTCCTCAGCGATCTATCCAGATTGCAGTTATCATCTGACTGTTCGCTCCATGATGGTAACCAGCGGGGATCTCCCCATCCTTTTCGACCATCGAGCCCTTTTCCACCCTATTTTCTCCCTCTGCTCCCTCGGGAGTGGGGAGTGAGCTGTGCTGCAGTTGAGCTGCGCGTGGGGGCAAAACCAGCACGGGAACGCAGGCTGCGTACCATTCAGTAGGTGTAACTGCAGCTCTCTATCTATTATCACAGCGCTTAGGACTGGAATCACGCAGGCGGCAGCGCGGTCTCAGCCCGGATCCCCTCCCGGCTCAGCCCAGCCCGCTCCGGGCGGATCCCCGGCCGAGCCCCCGCCGCGCCTCCGTGCCGGGCGCGGTGCATGCCGGGAGCTGCCGGCCGGGCCGCGCTGCGCCGGGTTGAGCCGGGCCGGGCCGGGCAGCAGCGCCCGGCCCCACCTGGGAGCCCTCCGCCTGCTAACCCCACCCCCGGCCGCTCCCCCGCCGGCGAGGCCCGGCCCATGGCAAAGCGCTCGGCCGGTGGCTTGGCGGCTCAGGGCCGGCCGCTTCCTGCCCGTCGGTAGCGGCGGGCGAAGTTCGGCCGCGCCATGCGGGACTACGAGGAGGTGACCGCCTTCCTGGGCGAGTGGGGCCGCTTCCAGCGCCTCGTCTTCTTCCTGCTCAGCGCCAGCATCGTCCCCAACGGCTTCAACGGGCTCTCCATCGTCTTCCTGGCCGGTACCCCAGAACACCACTGCGCTGTGCCGCCCGGAGCCAACCTGAGCGACGAGTGGCGGAACGCCAGCATCCCGCTGGAGCTGCGCGGCGGACTGACGGAGCCGAGCCGCTGCCGCCGCTACCGCCTGGACGCGCTCGTCAACCTGTCGGCGCTGGGGCTGCGGCCCGGCATCGACGTGCAGCTGGCGGAGCTGGAGCAGGAGCCGTGCCTGGACGGCTGGGAGTACAGCCGCGACGTGTACCGCTCCACCATCGTCACCGAGGTGAGGGGCGCAGCCGGGCTTCGGACTGAGCCCGCTCCGCGCCGCTCGGGCTCGTTTCTTGGGTTTGCTTCCAGCCGCACGGCCCGCGTGTCCATCAGGAGCCGCGTTCCCGCTGCTCCCGAAGCGGCACTTGCCGGCAGGACGCACCGCCCGCACTGCGTTGCCTAGGGAGTGTGTGTGGAGCTCGGCACTGCTGTCCTGGGCTGCTCTGAGTGTTCCTGCTTTTAAATCTGGCGTGCTGCATTTAGTATGAGAGCTAGGCTTCTCTCTTCTGTTTACTTCCACTCGCAAAAGTGGTCTCCGGTTGCAGTGCTTTGGCTTGTGTGGCCTGTATGCGGTGCCTGCTGAATTGGTGCCAGCTGGCATCTGCAGGAGGACCTTGGGGAGCAAGGGTCAGCCCAGGAACAGCGAGTTGTTGGTGGTTCAAGGATATCTCTTTAAACTTGTATATCGAAAGGGTTTGCTTTATTTTCTTGCTAAAGGTGGCAGAAGTCATCCTGCAGGTGTGGCAGTTGGACGCTGTAGGGGAGTTCCATTCTGTGCTGTGCTACAGAGGACCCCAAATTTGCTGCACATCAACCTGATATCCCCTGTCCTTGTTCAGCAAAGCTGTGTCCTGCCAGCAGAGCCTCTGATCCACACAGCCAGCAAGGCTGAGGCTGTGCTGGTTGTGCTTGTGTCAGGTGCAAGGTACACAGACTCGTAGGCACTGGCTGCCTTAAGACACAAGGAAATACTCGGATTTCACACTGCAGAAAGGACTTCTCAGAAGGCTTGTTAACCGTTTATACCATCCAGTTTCCTGTTTGTACATGGGAGCAATCTTTGCAGAACTGTAGCAATGTTTTCTGCCCAGTGGCCTTTGTTCTTTGCTCTGCCAAGCAGAGATGGATGTTTGTGTACTTAGTGCCTGCTCACAGAAATCCTTCTTGGGTGAAGGACCAGAGTGAAGAAGAGAGTGTGGGAGAGATGCCCTGTTAGCGCAGGGAAGGGTGGGCATGGCAAAATGTGAATTGTGAAAACTTCCCTTGAACATGCACAGTCCTTAGGGCTTGGGTAGCTGCCACAAGGTGTTGCCTCACCTGTTTCTTAAAGAACTTCTTTCTTCACAAAGAGTAAAACTAGTTCGTGGTCATCAGTGAAACGTATGGCTGTGAAGGGATGAGGCACTCTCAGGACAGTGTAAGGCAGTTGGCATCCTCTGGAATTCAGCATTTTGCAGGTGAATGTGCTGGTTTTGTCCTGAGTGCCACAATACGGTGCTTGTCCTGACTGAAGCGTCGTTTGTCAGCACATTTTTCTCCCAGCTTCTTCACCGGGCTTTGACTCAGTGCGAGTTACAGGGTCTGATCTGTCAGAACATCCAGAAGCTCCGAGATCCCTAAGGGGAAGGAGCTGCTGACGTTTTGCTACGAGTCTGCAGCGGCTCTGCACAGTTTGGCAGAAGTTCTGTGTCTGGGGGAGGTAGCGGTTGGCTGCCCAGACTTCGTGCACTGAGGCAGCATTTTTTTCTGCCTTTAATACTAATGCTTTTGAGCCAGTTTTGCAAGAGCTGTGGCCTTTTGCATACTTGCAGGTTTTCTCTGTTCAGCTTGTTTAAATTGCTGGCTTGGTGTTGCTGCTTTCATGGTTGACTAATGCTGTGTTTGGTTGCATATCTCGAACTTGTTGAATAATCATGAGGACCTTTGTCCCAGATTTCTGGAGCTGACACGGGGAGGGGGATGGGGCGTTTTTTAAGAAAGGTTTTTGCATAAATCTCTCTTGACTCCAGGGAAAGTCCTCCGTTCTGTTTCTGCTTAGCAGAGGAGGCTTAATGCATTCAGTTCTCATTTGAAGGGAGACTTCCCTTTTTTCCAACAGACACAGCAGTAGCCAGTCTGCCCTATTTAACCAGTTCTGCTCGAGCAAAATGCCTTTTCCTCCTTTACTACAGCGTATCGTGAGGCATAAGAAAAGCTTTACTTTAGCCAAAGTAATCCTTCCTCCCTGTGTCCCATAAAAAAAAAACAATGTAGTCGTAAGAGTTCGCACGTAGTGCTAGGAGAAATATTATCTGGGGTAATTAAGGGGAAAGGCCAACTTCCACTCCCAGTCCTATGTGTGAAAGCCTGGTATCTGCTGTGGGATTGAACTGAGCAGTGCCTTGGAGCAATAGTCGTCTAGAGAAGTCACATCATGAAGATATGTTGGATGATGGAAACATTTTAGTTTGGGAGAATTCTTATGTACTCAAGTATGGAAATGCTTCTTATATACTGGCACTTAAATAGATGAAGAGTTCTGTGTTCATCTTCAGTTTTATAAATGTGTTGTACTGTTCATCAGCCTGAAATCAGCTCAGTGCAGGCATCTTTTCTGCTTCAGAACTGCATGTTTTGAGCCTGTTGTAGTCTTAATGTTTGTCGGTGGCTATTTTTGCAAAGGAAGGATGCTCACTGTGGAGCTACTGCAGCACCCTGAAACCTGGTGTGATGCTGAGGCTCCGGATCCTTTGTGACCACAGAGGTGAATCAAAGCCAGGTGAGCCAGGTTCAGCTCTGCTGGGCCCATTGTTCACTGCCACACGGCCTCCTCCTGTGCAGGAAGTCGCACCCAGATTTCCATTATTCCTTGTCCATTACAAACAGCACGTCCTCTTTCTTGCTGCAGGGTAATACTGCGTATTTTTCTCCATCTCAGGAGCTGCCACAACTATGAATGTGTTATAGATAAGTACTGAGGCTGTGATTGATTTATAGGTGCAAAATGTGAGTGTTAATAATTTTGTCTGAAGGAGAAATGTCTCATTTCCAGCTCATAAGTGGATGTGAGTAGCATCTGTACTGAAATGCTTTAGAGATGCAGTGGTTCCTGTGTTGTGCTGTATGAAGCATGTGTTGCAGGGCTGTTCAGCCATGCGATGTAAAACAGAGTTAGGATTTTTAAGGAGTGATTGACCTCTTGTTGACGCCATTAAAACTGAGACAGTGGTCATTTAGAGGCACCATGCGCAATAAATAAGGGAGTAATGATGGATCCTGCTAGGATGTCTGTAACTTTGGATTGGTAATCCAGTTTTTTTCCAGTTCCTGGTGTCAGTGCCCCATTTCCTTTCTTTTCCAGCCATTTCAGAAATGGGATGTTTGGGAGAGTTCATTTTTTTCACAGAAATTATGAAATGTTTGGTGTTTTCTTCTATGTTCTATGCAAGTTTTACTTCTGTGGTGGTTTAAAACAACTACAAGGGGAGACATAGAGCATAATGTATGTTTTGTAGATGCAGGCTTCCGTTTGTAGATTAAAAGCCGTGAAAGAATATCTAAAAAGCAGAATCACAGAATGGCCAGGGTTGGAAGTGACCTTAAGGATCATGAATCTCCAACCCCCTGCCACATGCAGGGCCACCAACCTCCCCATTTAATACCAGCCCAGGCTGCCCAGGGCCCCATCCAACCTGGCCTTGAGCACCTCCACGGATGGGGCATCACAGCCTCTCTAGGCAGCTGTTCCAGCACCTCACCACTCTCTCTGTAAAGAATTTCCCCCTGACATCCAACCTCAATCTCCCTTTCCTCAATTTAAAACCATTTCACCTTGTCCTGCAGTTATCAATCCTTTCAAAGAATTGATTCCCCTCCTGTTTGTATGACCATGAAATATCTTAGATATCAGAATGTATTTTCAGAGGAAAAGTTGCTTAATAATGCTTCACACTCTCGGTTAAATGGAGGATTTTTACATGGGTATGATGGAGACCAGATTCTGAATCCATGGCTGTAGGTACCCTGCTGTGAGATGGGCACAGGGGCTTTCTAAGAACCTGCCTTGCTGTACAGAGAGAAGCAGTTGGTGGGAGGGAGCGTGTAATGCTGGATTCACTTCAAAACTTCTTACTAAAATGTTGACTTTTTAAAAAAAGCAAATATTAGCACATGAGCCTATCCCACTTCTACTCTCTTATGTGCAAACATAACTGTGCACAGCTCCCAAAGTTTTTGGTGTTTGTCATAGTGCTTTGAGCAGGGATTTGGTTACCAGTATCGGGGAAGCACAGTTGATGCTGCAGCGGAACACGAATTGAGAAAAGTGTGGGTTTTTTTTGTTTGTTTTTTTTTTCCACCAGTGTGATCCTGAATTATGTTGTTAACCTTGTGATTATTTCTATAACTTTCCAAAGGTATTTGGTAGCAGTTTGTATCTGTTTGCTGTGACACTCTAATTGCGAGGACTTTGGACGCTTTGTGGAGCTCCCCCATATTCAGACTTGCAATTGCCATATTATGGTATGTCATCAAATACTGAGCAGACTTTATGCTTGAATATGATTGTCATGTTGTTATTAGCAGTTTGTTAGTTCCTGTTGTATCTCCTTGGTAGAGATGGCAAAATCCCCGTGAAAGTTGGTTGCAATAAGGTGTCTGCATCAATGTCTGGGTGGAGCACTGCTGGGTTTCATGTCAGGAACTCGTGAGGTGTCAGCTCTCCTTCCAGGGCAGGTAATGGTCTCCAAGCACAATGGTACAGTGCCCATACACAGAAAAAGTAGATAACCTTTACCTCTGGGTGGCTTTGAAGTGCACAGGTTGCTTGGAAGAAGTACCAGGATGTGGCAACGTCATCAGCTGCACTTGTGGCCAGAACTTGCCTTGCAGCTGTAGTTTGATGCCTTTGTTTGCACTGCTGCCTGGTTTTCTGCAGAACTCAAATATTTCATCTCAGAGTCTGAATTTCTTTGTGATTGTGGAGGCACGTGTGAGATTGCTGTGGCTCCCAGCTCATTGCTGCAGGTGTGAGGTTAATTATGAAGACATTGCCCTGATGAGCTCTGTGAGAAGTATTTACAGCCTAGTCAAAGTACTGCACTCTGAGTAGGAAGATAAGCTTAAATCACAACAGATTATGTCCTTTTCCAAAGTTAGAATAATAATTGTGAGAGAACTCTGTGCCATTAGCAATGGAGAGCAGCGTGGAGGAGCCGACGCTTTGCAGGGTCAGTAGCTGCTCTTTGGAATAAGGGCTGAAATGTATTCTTCTCCTGTTTGGAGCCACAGCACCTTGCTGAGGTGAGCCTTATCTGAGCCACTGGGGCAAAGGCTTTGCTTACTCAAGGGATACCAGGAAATGAAAATAGCACGTGATTTTAGAGCACTGGGTCACAGCGTGCTGTGTCCAAACAGCCCTGCCAGCAGCAGGAATCAATCAGTAACTGCTCTTGGGATGTTCACTGGCCTTCCAACCGTGATGCTTCAGTGACTTTTTCTTGAGCAATGTATGGTTCAGGGAAGGGTAAAGCTGCAGAGTGGTTCTGGAAGACCGATGCCATCATCAACACGAACGATGTAGATCTGTCTTGTGACTCATTAAAAGGCTGAGGACTTCATTCATTTACTGACTGGGGTGAGAGGTAACAGACCTGAAAATCCATCTGTTCTGATAGTTGTACCCGTGGAGTTTTTAGCTATAAATAAGTGGTATTGCACAACCAAGCTAGTTTTTCCTTGGAAACTCAACACTGAAGTTCTCTTTGGTGCCTGGTCTGAGTGCTTGTCATCATAACAGCTGCTGTAATTATGTGAATAGAGTGGGCAGAAAAACAAGATAGTAATTAGGGCACCGCCTGAAGGACCGGTGTGTTTCCACCTCTCAGGGCAGCCGTGTAACACATTTCATAACCACAAACTTTTCCAAGCAATGTCTCTGTCTTAGCATTCACAGGAAATGTTTGTTACCAGGCACAGCATGCTGGTGTCCAGCAAGCCAAGCGTGGTGCAGGCTGGTGCTGAGCTGCAGCGTGGGAGACAGCTGGAAGGAGACAGGCCATTGTCAAGTACAGTGTTCAGCTTCTTTAGGGATGTAAAGTGATTTAGTTTCTTTCTAAAGGCCTTCTTTAGGAACAGTACTCAGTGATTTCTAATAACATAACTAACATGTCTGGTTCCGGTGGCTGATGGAAAGGATTCTTGGAGTGAGTCTGTCAGTGCAGTGCTGGGAGTGGTGCTCGATTCCCTGATAAATACCATCACATGGAGACATGCAATAGCCACAGCAGCCTCTGGTCTGTGTGAATTTGGTGGTGATCATTCACTGTGTATTTCCAAGCACTGTTAGTTTTACCAGAGCTTCTTGGCTGGCGTAGCTTGTGTGAGCAGTCATCAGAGAACTGCTCAAATATTCTTCCATCTGTAACGCAGTGTTTGTGGCATGAGTGCAGATTAAATCATAAACATGTTAAATTACAGCTTTTAATCTACGTTGTATTGATAATCATAGAATATTGTGGCTGGAAGGGATCCATAAGGATCATCACTTCCACTCCCTGCCCTGCACAGGGCCTCCCAAAATTCAAATCCTATTTCTGAGAGTCACCCCCTGCTTCACAGCCAGGTTAAAAACAACAGAGCAGAACCCACAGTACTGAACTGCTTGTAACTTGAGGAGGAAAGGAAGGAGTTGTTGGGACCAGCATCAATATTTTCATTTCAACCTCTTTAGTGCAAACTGAAAACTCCCAAAGTTTCCATCACTAAAGCATCACATGGTGCCCTGTCAGCAGGATCTGGCCTTGTGTCAGAAGTGCTGGTGGCCTCCAAATTCCCCTCCTGTGCTCAGCACCCAATGGGGTGAGCAGGACCCAAGGGGCAGCAGCTGCAGGCAGAGCCCAGCAGTGAGGGAGGACCGAGGAGCATCCCTGCTGCTCTGTGCTTTCTTCTGGCATTTATGAATATTGACACCCTTTTGCTTTTTTCCCCCTCAATAACCAAAAGAAAATTAAGACTCTTTCAATAAGAGCTGTTGATAGAGATAACCAAATAACATGAATGCTATTTCTGAAAAATGAAACTGAAGCAGGTAAGAGGGTTGCAAACTGTTGCAGTCTTCATTTAATAGTTGTCTTGTTTTTTTTTCCTTCCTATTTTTGCTAACGTATTTTCATTTTGAAAATGATGCTTTTCTTGGTGTGTATTTCAGTTTATGTTCTGAAGATTGCAACTGATCCTTCCCTGGAGAAGTGAGATCTGCTGGGCTCTGCAGGTCCTGTTGCAGACCCATGCTTTGCACTTAGGTCCCTGGTGAGCAGTGAAGTCTATCCCAAAATTAAATTGTAAATTTATTTTAAATGTAAATTTAATTACATTAAAACGTAATAAAAGAGGAGGCACTTTACTCTATGTAGTTCAATTTCTCTTGAATTATAAATGTGAGGTTTTAATGGAAACATTCACCATATGCAGGAGAAGACAACTGGGGTTTGTAGTGATGCCTTGCAAACCCAGCAGGATTAAAAGGGAGCTGAACGGAGCATGCAGTGAAATTGGGAGTGACTTTCACCTGCATACACAGGGGGAGAACCATTAGAGTCAGCCATTGACTGTGTAAAGAGGTGGTGGTGCTGTGGCCTCAGATGGGTGATCTGAGGAAGGATTGGAGCTGGTGGCATTTGGCCTCTGCTGAGCAGCATTGGTTGGAGTTAAGTTTGTCCAGCTCTGTCTGTGCCTTAAATTGGTTGTTCTTTCCTTCTGTGGAAGCTTTCTGCCCACAGGGCACGTTTCCCTCAGGCTCAGCCAACTTGCTTAGAAGGAGGGAGGGAAAATGCTGTTGATTTAAAGCCTTTCATGTTCTTTCTTCTTGCAGTGGAATCTGGTGTGTGACAATGACTGGAAGGGGCCCATGAGCACCTCCCTGTTTTTTGTGGGCGTGCTGCTCGGATCGTTCATATCAGGACAGCTCTCAGACAAGTAAAGTATATGCACCACAACCACTGCTCTTTGATGTGTTTTGCAAGCAGTTCTTGCATGTGAGGTTTGGTACAAGTGTTTTCTGTGACCTCTAACGTGTCCTAATTCTGTGAGTGCCCAATCTGAATGTGCACTGTGTAGAGCACATGGCCTGACTTAGAGCAGGATGTCACAGGGATCACTGGTAGGGGTGATATTTACCAGTTTATTTTCTCAGAGTAATCACTTCTGCAGCAAATCGTATTTATGCCAGAAAGTGTAAGCAAGAGATGCTTCATTTCTTTCAAACGTTTTCCTTGTTATGTTTGTTTGTTTTTTTTTAATGTGCTGATCTGTGCAGTGAAGTGTTTGCTGTGTGGAGGTGGAGCATCTATTATTGCTTTTACACTGCAAATAACGTTGCTGACAGTGAGTTGCTCATTCTGTCAGAAAGGAATGAGTGGTGTTTCAGCATACACCTAAAGGTGACTTGGCTGTGACCCTTGGAATATTATTTTCTCATGTCCTGTGAGTCTCCTCATGTATTTAGAGTAGATGTGCATGTGCTGCTGAATCTTTGCTTCTTGCAGATGTCTTATCTCCTTAAGTAATTTCTGAAGATTTAATTCATGCTGTTCTTTTCTTTTTTGTTTTCTTTTCATCTAATCCCTGGAAGGTTTGGCAGGAAGAATGTGCTGTTCGCAACTCTGGCAATGCAGACCATCTTCAGCTTCGTTCAGATCTTCTCTACCAGCTGGGAGATGTTTTCCGTGTTCTTTTTGCTGGTTGGCATGGGGCAGATCTCCAACTATGTGGCAGCGTTTGTTCTTGGTATGGAAGTCCTGCTGGGCCCAGAATGCTGTCTGTTGTCCTGTCTGCTTCCCTGCTTAGGGCTGGTTTGCTTTGTCAAGAAGTGCTGTTAAGTGTTTGTCCTCACCACATGTGGATCCTCACCTCATGCTGTCTTTGGAAGTTTCCACTGATAGAAGTGCAGTCTGAATTAATTCAGTGAGTTACCAGAGGATTCAAGTGTTTCAACTAATAGAGAAATAGAGAATTCCAGAAGGTTTTATGGGTCATGGCCTAATCTAGGCATCTCTGAAGTATCCTTTAAAGAAGCTAGTCTCTCCATAAGCTGCAGAAGATCCTATGGAGATCAAGCTGAAGCTAACTCCTGGTACATCAGATGGTTTTAAGTCCTCAGGTACAGTAGATCATAAAAACATAGAAATACAGAAGAGTTGGCTGCATCTAGCTACAGAAATACTATGTGGTCTGATCAGTTACCTTCCATACTTACAGTTACTGGATTGATGCAAGATCATCACGCGAGGCAGAGCTGTGGTGCCTCCAATAATGCATGGCTGTGTAGTATGTCCCGAAGCCAGTTATTTGTGGTTGCTTTTATGTTAAAATACCAATCTTCGCTCTTGTTCTGAACAGGCACAGAAATTCTTGGCAAATCCATTCGTCTGCTATTCTGCACGTTGGGGGTTTGCATCTTCTATGCCTTTGGCTACATGTTGCTGCCACTGTTTGCCTATTTCATCAGAGACTGGAGGATGCTGCTGCTGGCGCTTACTTTACCTGGGCTGCTCTTCATCCCACTGTGGTGGTGAGTGCAATGAAAACAGAAGACTTTAGAAGTCTTGTCAATGGGTTTTTAAGAGCCAGATGTCAGCCAGGCTTTGGCATTGAAAATTAGGAGTGGACAGAAGAGCAGCCATTGTATCCTTTGCTGTTCCCCGTTCTTTAGACTTAAGTCTGCAGCTCTGTGAGTAATCTCTGTCTGATTCATGTGTGAAGAAGTTAGTCTTCATTTTCCTTGAGGGTTCTGGAAAATTAAGTGATTGTACATGGAAAAGGAGGAGGGGGGAGGGAGGAGAAAAGGGGAAGAGAAAGAAAAACCAAAACGAAAACCCACCTTCATCCTTCTGTACCAAATAACACCCATTGGGTAAGGCCTAAGCTAAAGGCAGAATGAAAAAGCAGTTATTTTGGAGAGTGACATGGTGGCGTAGATCTGGCAAGCTGTAGCTGTAGAGCAGTGCTTGCACACCTGTGCAACCTCAGTATTTCCTGCCCTAGTTAAGGAAATGCTGCTTTGCAGTGATGTGACTTGTAGAGCTCAAGTCGTCCACACGATGGTGGTGTTTCTTCACTTACACATAAAATGAATGCCGTTGCCTCTTCCCCGTGCAGATTTCACATGTAAACGCTGCCACATTCAGCCAAGTCAAGTAATGATTTGATGTGCTGCAGTTACTAAGCAGGTTCCTCTTCATTTGCAGAATGCTGCTTGTGTATTATTCACATTTCTGAATTTCTTTAAACCATTTTTCCTGTACTCTGAAAGTTTCTGTTGCTCTTTTTTTTTTTTACTTGTTTTCCCCTGCATCATTCTTCAGCTCTTTTGTACTTTTAAAATATGCAACACGTTTTAGTCTGTTCTTCAGCCTACGAGTTGGCTCTTGTAAATCTCATTTCTGTTGTCTTAGCTTTAATTTCTGCAAGATGTGTCAAGTTTTAAGCTCTTTGTGCCTGGAACAACATGTGTTGGTGTCTGGAGCAGCACGTTCTTTGGAAATGCTGGCATATTATTCTGAATCTTTCACACAGGTTCATTCCAGAATCTCCACGATGGCTGATCTCTCGGGGCAGATTTCAAGAAGCAGAAGACATCATCCGAAAGGCTGCAAAAATTAATGAGGTTACAGCCCCAGATGTAATCTTTGACCCTAGTGAGGTAAGATTCACTGAGCAGTCAGGTTGTTTGCTGGGCCTGTTAGTATCTATGGAAAGCAATGAATTTCCAGTTTGGCCTGCACTGTATCATGTACTTTTGAAGTGGTTAAAAGTTCATCCTTTACTGGAAAGGCCTTAAAGCAAAATACCCTTTCATTAAGGTTTGAAAAGGCCTTGCTGTCCCAATCCCATGCAACATTCCAATGAAAACATCAAGATGTCTTATTTTATTTTATTTTTAGCATGATTAACAGCTTTATTTTCTATTTAAACCACATTTTTGGAAGTGAATGTAATTAATTTGGTTTGCCTATTGCTTTGTGATCTGAATACATCCCAGATGAAGCCAGCAAATTGGCAGGAAGTCTCGTTTATCCCAGTGACTCTGAATACAGTGGATCTCCTTAACCCAGGCAGCTGACAAATGGCTTCTTTGGGTCTTCCAGGCACCTGAGACCTGGCCACACTGCACTGAGGAGTGTATGCCTCAGCACCTAGCAGGGAATTCAGTCTCCTGGTCTCTTAGTCTTTGTTTTTCCTCCAGCTTCTGATCTTTTTGGACAGAAGCATCTGATTCTGAGTGGCTGTTTATAGATAATACTTATGTTCTGGACAAATTTTATGCTTGTCTGCTCTAATAGAAAACTAATCCTAGCTGGTGAAATAATGCTCTTCAAGTTCAACTTCGATTTCATGTAGAGGAGACCAAAACTTGAGCGTCCTTGAGCTGGAGTAGTTAGCAGTAAAGTTGTTCTTGTTTCCTTCAGGTATCTCTGAGCTGTTGGTATCCTTAAGCTGCAGAATGAGTTCCACGTTCATTTATTCACAGTTCAGACAGGCAAATTGTTTGCATAATCCAGGGGAATGGGCACCTCCCTAAGCACATCTGTAGTGTCTGTCTGGGCACAGTTGCTCTGCCGTATTCCCACTGACACTGGACACTGTCTAGTTGTTGATAAGAGAATTGCTTGTTCCTATATTGTCTTGATTTACAAAGCTCTTGGGTCTTGCAGTCTGAGCCAAATGTTTAGTCAGTTATCTCAGATGTGTTGCTATTGAGGCTGAGAAGGCTTCATTTGGCTTGCAGATCGCTGAGGTGCAGACAAGCCTACTTATCTAGGCTAAATTCTAGATAGCAAGATAGACATCCTGGTCTTGCTGGAGCAGAATGCCAGGAAAACCTAGACCTGATGATGGCTTTTGCACTGGACTGCTGTTGAAAGAACCTTTTTTTTATTTTTTGTTACTGCTTTCTTTTTCCTTCCCTCTCCTGCTTTAAGCATGAAAACTCATCCTGTGCCAGAAAGAGGACAGAAAATGAGCTCTGGCTCCAACATTCAGTGAAGATAATCATACCTGGAATGCCTCCATTTTCTGTTCTTAGAAAGAAATACTGATCTGTTCCCCATCTCTGAGAGGGGCTGGGTTTGAAGCAGCAGAGCAGTTCACGTTTCTCCAGGGAGGGGGACTGGAGCAGGCTGGATCGCAGAGATCAAAATCACAGCACATCAACTTCCAGAAACACAGTTTACCACTCAAAGCAAATGGAACTCAATTATCAGGGGTTTGTTTAACTGCAGAACTCCCAACCATCTTTTTTTCTTTTTTTTTTTCCTTCTTTAATAAGCTGTGACAAAATAATTTGTGCAAAGCCTTTCTTCATCTGCGGTCCCTTTATCCTCTTCTTTTGTGTGCTTTCTGAAGAAGGCTGGCATCTTCCCCTGAGGTTTTAGGAAACGTGTTTATGCTGCAGCAGGATTCTCAGAAACAGGCTGGCCCTGAGGCACTGTGCAGCTGGAATGGAGGAGCTCACAGGGCTGCTGTCCTCTGAAGCGTTTAAACTCTGAGGTTTCCAAACCAGTTTGGATTTCAAAACCAGTTCAGATCCGTGATCACAAACAGTCCATAGAGCGTCAGTAGGGCCTGGTTGGCTGAATTGTCTGACGTGAGGGGAATGAACAGGTTTGGATGACAGGTTTCATTCCAGATGCCTTCCTTTGTCACAGCTTCTTGCTCTGTCCTGTCCTGCTAAGGGGCTGCATTATCTGGCAGGGCCCTTTTTTCTCATCACTAATTTAAATTTTGCATTGTTCCTCGTTTTGTTTTGTGGTTTGTTTGGGTTCTCTTTTTTTTTTTTCTTTTCTATTTTTTGTGTTTCCTGTTTGTAGGTTTCTTGGCAGCAAAGAGTGGCAGAACTGGAAAGCACAGAGGGAAGATCATGTGATTTAAGAGAAAGGGCTGTGGGCTGAGAAGCTGCTGCAGCTTGTGCAGGGGGAGGCTTAAGCTCAGGCAGAGTAAAAGCTGTCCAGTGTAAAGAACTGCTTGCCTTTAAGAGAAAATTAAGGTTTATGAGGGCAAATGCACTGAATTGTGGAGTGCATGAGCAGTAGAATGCTGTTTTATCTTCCAGGTCTTTAGGACAAAACACTGCTTGAAATAATGTTCACTTGGCTGCAGAGTTATATAAACTTTGTGCTTGCGAGATGTGGAGGAGAAAATACATGTTTTGAGTTGAGGGACAGGACTTGAGGGCTCCATGTCAGTCTCCAGCAGCTAACTTGCAAATTATCACCTGCCTGAGATGGAGGAGAGGCTGACAAGGAACTAAGTGTAACGAAGGGTTGCTTTTATTTCTTTGCTGGTATGCTGGAATGCATCCAGCTTCTTCCATTGAGCCTGTCTGATGTTCCAGGGGAAAAAGAGTTGTGAGTTGAGCTGATACAAAGCAGAGGATGCTAGACCAGGCAGAAAGAGTTTAAAGGCCAGACAGAAGTAGTTTAAAGTAGTGAATGCACTGTGTTGGAGTGGCAATCTGACTTTGTAATCATGTTCACACACCATAGTATACGCAGTGCACACAGAAGGTGTTCAGTCTTATATGTGTAAATTAAAGCTGTTGCTTTGTAAGTCAAGCATGGAAGTTAAAATAAGCGGCTTTTATGGAGTCTAAGGGAAAGAAAATGCTTACTGATTTCAGCTCAAATGTTAAGTGAGTTTAAAGAAGGAGCAGCTGTTTTTACAGATACTTGTATGTGGGCACAAGAGACGTGTTTGGTTAAAAGCAGAGCACCAGGTTCAGCTTTACAGCATACCAAAACGGCCCCAGGAGTACTCAGAATACTGGTGTGTAAGTCAAGGCAGTGGGCTTGTTGTCACAACTGTTCTGTTTGTGGGATGCTGATGTTCCATGCTTTCTGTTTGCTTGTTTTCAGCTGCAAGATTTGAGTTCCCAGGAGCGACAGACGTACACCATTTTGGATCTCGTTAGAACACGAAATATCCTCACTATCACGATTATGTCAGTGATTCTGTGGTAAGCAGGAGTGTGGTTCAGGAATGTGTCAGCACAACAGCAATAAAACAATAAGAAAGTTCCCTTTGAACACTGAAGTATTCTAAAGAGGTGTGGGCAAAACTGGTTAGCTTGAAAAACAATGGGCTGAAGTGACATCATGCTGTTTATGTAGGTTCCTTGTTTCTTAGGCTGAAGAGCACATGGTAAATGAAGTTTTGCAATGAGAAAAAGGAGTCAACGTTGTGGAAGTTAGTTTTATTATCTTAAATGCTCTTGCAAATCCTGCAGAAAAATATTTGGTGGCTTGAGGCTGCTTTTAAATTGGTTTTACCTTGTTGGTCAGTTGCCTAATCTGTTTTTAGATCATTTCCCAAAATATAAAGTATCCTATGCTGATTCACAGCAACGTTTTATATACACACCCATGGTATATTCTGAGTTATGAATTGAAATTCTCTGCAGGTGTAATTGCATCCAGGTTTGCCAGTGTGATAAACTAAGGCAAACTGCTGCTAAAAGTGAGTTCCAGCAAGAACAAGTAGGTTTGTTTAATACAAAAAGAGCTCCTAAAAGCCCCGTGTTGTACAGCATTATGGAAATTACTGCGTAATAACTGTTACTGAGGAGAACAGCTTTACTGGCACATCATGCACACCAACAGGGGGATTACCTCTGTTATCCCAGGCAGTTTATTTTAAGCAGTTGAACCATGAAGGTTGCTCTCATGTGAAGTGAGAAGAAAAGAGAACTGAGTTTTGGTCAGTGATACACTTAATGCTGTGCAGTAATTCTGCTCTCGGTTCTGCTATGACACAAATGCAGTGGAAGGGAAGTGCTGAGTGCTCCGTGATGATCTTGGACAAATCCTGAGCCAGTGTCATTATTTACCATGTGCTAGTGAGGCATAACCTCCTCTTCCCAGTGTCTCTAAAACAATATAGATTTTATCACCAAAGACACCTCTGTGTTTCCCCTGGTCACGTGTGCCTGTCTGGCAGTGGCACAGTTAAGATGGCACTGTTCCCAGCCTCTAAACTCCATCCTGTTAACCAGGCACAGAGCCATGCAAATACAACTTGAATGCTATCCTGCCAACTCTGGGCACGGCAGAGGAAATCCTAGGTTGTTTGGATCTGCCAGGATGCCATCCTCCTTTTGTCTGAGCTCATTCAGCAGGGCGGGTAACCACCCAGGCCGCTCTGATGGACCATGCTCTGTTTTCAGGATGATAATCTCCGTTGGTTATTTTGGACTTTCTCTCGACACACCCAACTTGCACGGCGACGTCTATGTGAACTGCTTCCTCTCAGCAGTGATTGAGGTCCCAGCCTACATCATCTCCTGGCTGCTGCTTCGAAACCTCCCCCGACGGTATTCAATGGCTGCTGCGTTATTCTTGGGAGGCTGTGTTCTTCTCTTCATTCAGCTGGTGCCTTCACGTATGGAATCGTTAGTTGATCTCAAACACACATGATAGGCCAAGTCCAGTGCCCTGCATTGGGCAGATGTGGAGGAAAAGTATCCTGAAGGGACTAAATATAGTTTTCCTATTTTTGCCATCCTTCCTTGGTTCTCAGTGCTCCAGCACCGGGAGCTCACAAAATATACCAGGTCAGATGTGTTTGTAAAGACAGGTCCTTGCTTTTGTGGTCTGTTTGCATCAGTACCATAGTCCAGTTTTGCCCTACTGCAGATCTTTGGCAAAGAGCTCTGGTAAACTCGTGCAGGTAACCTGAAGGCTGCAGAACTTGCTGCTTAAAAGGCTGCCACTGACTGCCTTTAGAGCTTGTTTGAAAGTTAATGTGGAAGTATTTTTTAAAAGCAAAGATGCTTGCACTGCATTAAAGTTAATAGTTATCATTTTGCAAATCTGAGGAGGGCAAATCAACATTTATTGGATATCAAACCAGCATGCATCTTCAGGGTAATGAGATTGAGGGCTATAGACTCCATCAAATACGATGTCATATTTGTGACAATATATGGAGGTCAAATTCAAATATGATGTGGGAGTAATCTTGTTGCTTAACACTTCTTTATTCTTTGATTTATGAACAAATGAGGATGAGTTTATTTTACACTGGTAATTATGAGTCACTTTTTTTTAATTAGTTGGAAACTGATATGATCTGTTTTGATTTTCCAATCCAGCTGTCCTGGTTAAAGGACAGCACTGTAGAAATGACTGGATTGTAGAAACCAGAGTAGCAAAGTGAAAATGACTTATTCAAATGCTTCACTTTGCTCAGTTTGTTAAAAAGGGATTATTGGCATTGTTTGCAATAGCAAAGGTCTGCCCCTGGAATCTGGAGAAAACTTTTGAAGTTGTTGCCCTGTTGTCCTTATTTTTTAAGCTTCTCGAGAGGAAAGTGGAACTGTTGGCTCCTAGTTTAAAAGAAAGAAGTTGCCCATGCACAGACACGTGTGCAGAAAGGAAAGGACACCAGATAATGCAGTTAATGACACAGGAGTTGTGCAGTCAGTAAATTTACAAGATACCATGAATTGCCAAGCGTTTTATTGAAGCTCTTGCATTTTAATTTCAGATATTCGTGCCCTATCTATTCTCCTGGTGATGTTAGGGAAGTTTGGGATCACATCTGCCTTTGCAATAGTTTATGTTTACACGGCTGAGCTCTACCCAACGGTAGTCAGAAACATGGGAGTTGGAGCAAGTTCCATGGCCTCAAGGCTTGGCAGCATCCTCTCACCTTACTTTGCTTATCTTGGTAAGTGAATGTGCTGGGGGGACACTGGTGGTGGCTGGAAAGCATTGGTTCAGTGCTGCCTGCAGGGCTGAGGGCAGAACTGCATCTCAGTGCAAGACCCGATTGCAGGGTTTAAAATAAACCAAACCAAAATCGGTTCTGCTCATTTGCTCTCATTCTTGAGCAGCCCCCCACAGTGTCTGTGAGGATGGGACCCTGTGAAGACTGTCAGCTGCCCAGCACTGCAGTGCTCATGTCCATATCGTGGCTCTAGAATCCATTGTGGCACTGTGGAGGTCAGGGAGCACCAGCTGCTTTGGATGCCGTGCTGAGAGGATTTTGTTTTAACTAACAGCTGTTCTAAAGTGCAAATGTTGGCAGTGAGTTGGAATTGATGCTAGCTTTTGTTGCTTTCTGCTAGGTGCCTACGATAGATTCCTGCCTTACATCCTGATGGGGAGCCTGACTGTGCTATCAGGAATTCTGACTCTGTTCCTGCCAGAAAGCTATGGAATGCCTCTTCCTGACACGATTGAGCAAATGCTGCTGGTAAAAGGGTAAGCATTGCCTTCTGATTTTTATACGTCTGTTTTACCTATAAATGTAAGTGCATGCCTCTGTGTATGTCCCCATTGGTAGAATCTTGCTAAAGTATTTGATTTGCTCTAAAGTGTGCTGACAGTAGGAAAAGCTAGTTCTGTAGAGACTACTGCAGTCACAGCACAAGTAAGGAAGGGCCAATATACCCCTGTACCACAGAAGCTGCTGGTTAAAATTTGGCTGTACTTACAGAAGATTTGATATTTGATAATGAATTGTGTAAGGAACGTTGTTCTGGAGAGAGGTGGGATGCACTGCACTAAGAGGGGCAAAGAGTTTTTGCTGGTAGGATGGCTGACCTGATAAAGAGAGCTTTAAACTGGGGGTAGGGCAGCTAGCAGCAGCCTTATGAGGGACTGGTGGGCTTGGGTGACGTGGAGAAAAGAGGATGCAAAATCAGCAAAAGAAGGCTTTTGGGCAGCACCAGCTGCAGCATTTGCACATAAGCAAGGAAATATCTACAGCCTGCTGCTTTGGGGAAAGGCAGGGGGTGGGGAAAGGTACTTTCTGTGATATCAGCCTGCTGGGTGCCTCTCTGAGGGGTCTATACATGGTGCATGCAGCATGGGGAGTAAACATGAGGAGTTAGATTTGTGTGTGCAGTTGCAGATCTTGTTGGGATCATGGAGACGTGAGACAGCTCCCGTGACTGGAGTGTTGCAGTGAAGGGATACTGGCAGGAGAGAGATAGGAAGGACAGACTTTGCTTTGTATGTTTGCTTTTAAAGGTATAGTGACGTTTTATGGATTTAACAACCAACTCACTGACAAAAGTATTTTCAGCCCACAATGGTGAGGTAACAATTCTGGTTGAAAGGACTTTATTGTTCAGTCTGTATGTTTGAAATGATTCTGCAGTATCAAACTGTCACAAAGTAATTTATCTTTGCATCTTAAAGCGGTGCAAGTACTGCTGAATTCTCCCAGTTAATTTCAGCTGACCTAAAAAAGCATTGAGAGTTGGACCTTCTGCCATGGCTCTGAGTGGAGGCAGATACTGTTAGAAAAGGACCCGTTCAACTGAGGTCAACAGAACATTAAACTTAGTCTGTAATGTCTGATAGGGTTCAGAATATCAGTCTTCTTTCTCTGATTGCTCTTTTAATCTATTTTCCTTTCTCTTTTTTTCCCAGACTAGAATACAGGCCTGCATCTAGTGCCAAAAGGAATTCAAAGGATGAAGAAGAAAACCCAGAGATTTTTAAGAGCACATCTTTTTAATGAAATGCCTACTTCCTGATGGACTGAAAGTTAAATGGATTTGCTCCTAATGCTCATTCTAGAAAGGGCTAGTGGCAACACTTCTTCCTGCAATTTTAACCTTATTTATTAATTTAAACACTGTGTTCCATACATTCTCTTTTTGTATGACCACAAATACTGTGTAGCCTTCACTGATTTTTCAGCCAGTTGTTTTAATGTGTTTTAATCCTTTAACCAAGGAACAGTATCTGATCAGACCTTTGGAAGTAAGTGTGTAGGTGAGCTGAACAGTACCTGGAAGTGAGTTCAAGGGCTGGCAGAGCACCTGGACTCCACAGCCAGTCTTCTTCAGAGCTGATGCCCATCAAGAATTTAGAAACACTAGAAGAAGCTGCTAATTACTTTTGATTTCTTGACTTCTGTCTTTGGACAGGAAACTTATTTATTAGAGTGCAGGTCATGCAAACATGCCACTGTGATCTTGTGTGAATTTGCATGTGCTGAGTTTGCTAGCAGGTTCAGAAAGGTGCAAAGAAAGATTTTCTTGAGAATGAATTCTAACTTGGTGTGCTGTGTGTAGGCTGAAAGGATGGTCTTGCACAGAACACAGCACTGAGGTTCTGCTGACAGAGTCCTTTCGAATCCAATGCTGGATTTCAGCTACAACTTTTTGGTGACGTTGTTTACATCTGACACTGGAACGTGGCCCACGTTGAGGCTGTGTTTATTTAGAATGATGCAGAAGGTTTTATGTGTGTGTGTGTGGAGAGGGTGACTGCTGAAAATGTTGGTGACTGCTGAAAATGTTGGTGACTGCTGAAAATTGTCTTTCTGAATTGTTTGGGTTTTCAAATCATAGTCTGTGCGATGCGGTTGGCAAAAAGCAGTTCTGCTGTCTTAGTTTCTGACCTTTCTGCACACACACACACACACACACACACACACACACACACACACACACTATCAATAATCCATGCCACTGCCTTGACCTCGTGGTGAGAATTCCCGAGATCAACGCTTACAGTGCACTTATGACCACTGGATTTTGATTCTTGGCTGCCAACTGTTGGCCTGCTGCGAGGTCTCTTATTTCCCTTCACTCCTGTTAATTGTTCATGTGAGTTGTGTTAGGATTATTATTATTTTTTCTTAAATCATGTTGAAAATCTGCTGACTGTTCCTTGGATCACAGCAGCACCCTTGGCATCGCCTGTGTCTGTTTAAAGGTGTGCATACACGTGGTCTCCTTTGTGCCATCCTGATCTCACACTGCATTACAGATGTACGTGGTGAAAGCATTCATCCTGTGGCACTTGTTTGTCTGTTGTCCTGTCTTGCAGAGGCTGAATGAGCAGAACCCCAGTTGCTCTGCTCAGGGCTGCTGGGGCCTTGCTGGCTGCTGGCTCTGGGGTGTTGTGCAGCTCTGTGCCAACGTCAGCTGCTCCAAGGCTTTTGTTAACCAAAGCCCTGTACCCTGTCCTCACCAGCCATGCTTGCTTAAGCTGGAGGGTTTCACTGCTTTCTCTGCTTCTTCTCACCTTTGTGCTCGGTGCTCTGTCTGGCTGATGGTAGCAGGCCCAGATGACACGGGGAAACTCACTGCTGTCACTGTCAGCTCCTCTGGGAAGAGAAATCCCAAAGCTTTGGCAGGTTCCATGTCACTTCTGGTTGAGAGAAGGCCATTGGCTGATGGGTTTAAAACGCACCGTGTGCTTTGAAAGTGGAGCATAAGTTGAGGATCTGAATTTTGCAAGCTTCACTGCACATCGTGTGATAGCCTTGATGTGTGCAAGTAAACATCAGGAAAGTGCATGAAAGCAGGCAGGCTGCTGTGTGGTGGTGGGAACGTGTCCTCACCCCACATCCGTGATTCTTTTTGTTGTGTACCCCACCTTTTGCAGAATACTCATTGCAATTGTAAGAATATGCTCTAAAAGTCAGCACAGATCATTTTCTCTGCATGCCACGTCTCTATTAGGCTTATAGGAACTGGAACATTGAGAAGCAGCTTTTTTGTGCTGCAGAAGAAGCCTCGCCACAGGAATTTGAGGCAGAACATTCAGCTGCAACTTCCTCGTCATGAATTTGCCAATGTAAACAGCCCTGCCCCACAAATCTTTTCCTGTAAACTGTTTGAGAAGATAGCCTGAGATGTGAGATACGTGATGTGTCGTGGAAATTCCTGCTGCAGCTCATCCAATGTCTCGTTTAGCTGTTATCTTTCATCTGCTATTTCACACAGGTTCTGTGCCTCGACAGCAGGCTTTTGTTCTTGATTCTAATGTTTATTAAGTGCTTGTTTGGGATTTTTAATATGATTAAATTGGGGGAATTTCCTGGTTGTGACTAATCCTACTACAGCAACAACCTCTGTGTCACAAGTTATATTTTCTTCCTTGCTAATCTCCTTAAAATCTAAAAGCGAGTCAGAAGCAATCTATCTAATATGGCATCCTGTGTTCCTTTGTTTACTTTCCTCTCCTGCCCTAATCCTTGAGCTTATCTCTGCAACAGGGAACTTGTTTTGATGTGAAGTCAGAATCCAGCTGCTAAATATTTCCAAAAGAACCCCAGGGGATGTTTTAATAACATCAGCAGGCAGGGGTTTTGATCCGGGCAAGCAGGATATGAGGGTGGAGGGTCTGACCCAGCTGTAAGGGCGATGGCAGTGCTGGCAGCAGGTCAGATCTGCACCAAACGGGCTGTGGGTGCCTTCTGTGTCAAATGGGGGAGTTCAGTGCTAGGGTCAGGTTGTGCCTGGTTCATGAAGGTGCTGCTCAGTAGTGCAGAATCTGTTCTGCTGCCCCTCGTGGAAGGCCTTGTTTCGCTGAGAGCTGTCCTGTTAGCCTCAAAAAAGTGAGGAGTGAGGGGTTGGGCAGAATTTGCCTATGAAGGAGGTAAAACCAGGAGCGTGGTCACTGTGCAGGAGGGTAATACAGAGTTTGGCTTTCAGGTGAGCTGTAACCTGTGAAATGCAGGAGGGCTGTGATGCCCTTATCGTGCATTACAACCACTGAGATCTCTGGTCAGGGAGCATTGCTGCACACTGCAGGATCTCTGGTGAGGAAAACAGCATTAAGGCCTTGGCTTGGAAACTGGGTTCCCTTCATTCCCAGCTCTTTGATTCCTTTCATCTCCCTGGGGAAGATGCACAGCCCCGTGACTTTGGTTTCTTTGCTTGCACTGGGAATATCGTTAGCTCAAAAAGCATCACGGTTTCCTCAGTTCACCCTCAGCAGTGTGTCATTCTCTGATACCACTCTCCTGGCTCTGGATATTGTGCTCTCAAGAACATCTTCTAATGGTTCCTCAAGCAGGCAGCTTGGGATGAGCCGGGCTGACGAGAAGCATCACTTCAGCATTAATTTTCTCTATGCACTTAAGTATGTTGTGAAAGTGTTGTTCTTCCAGGGGACTTTCCTTTGGAGAGATGATGATACTGTCTTGCTGGAACTTGAGATGAGTTATCCCCACCTCTGTTTACAGCTGCTTGTGTTTCACGGCCTCACCCATGGGTTCATTTATCTCCCTGGGGACCGTGAGCACAACAAGCACCTGAGGAAATGGTTGGGACTGTGTCTGTGATTACATTCGTGTTTCAGTATTTGTAGAATAGGACCTTAACTTGTAAAGCCTTTGCTTAAAGCACAGAATCAGCTTAGGCAGCATAACATGATGCTCATACGTGCCTTTGGGGTGCTTCGACCTGCTGGTAATGGCCACAGCCTTGTATATAGAAACGTATGGAAACTTCTTCTGAGAATGTAAATACTCTTAACTGAATTGATTCTTACCCTCTGCCGTTGTTTTTGGTTTGGTTTTGTTTTATAGAAAAATGCTCATTGTTTGTAAAATTCTGAATAAAATCATATCTGGGATTCGCATTCACATGAAGCGTTCTCTTACTTTGTTGCATCATCTTTTGTTACACAAATACCAGAGGTGCTTCTTTTTTGCTTCTCTTTACAGTCCTGTAGACTTTATGGTGGTTGATTTCTTTTTGCTGATGTGTTCTAAGCCAAAGGGGGGGGGAGGTTTCCTTATAGCTTATCACTGTCTGTCACTGCTGTCTGTAGCTCCACAAATGGGCTTCAAAAACCTGAGCCACCCTTGCTCTCCTGCTTTATTTCCTCCCAACCACAAGTTCAGTGTGACAGTGGGCAAGCAGTGAGGTGAGATAACGGGGCACCTGGGGCTGCTGGGCTGCTTGTAATCCTCAATGAGGGCTGGAGACAAAGCAGGGTGTAGAACTGCTATTGAGTAACAACTTACTTCACGTGGTCCCTGTAGAATGTGGATCTTGATTCTGGAGCCCTATGAAACATTGGAGAAGAACTAGGTTGTATCTTGACCGAGTGCCAGCCCTCTTCCTTTAATTGAATAGCTTCCAGCTGGTTCAATCCTTGCTCAAAGGGGCACCTTTCTGTTGGACGTTGGTGGAGTTTCATCGTTTAACAGCCCGGTGCTGTTTGTGCATCGGATCGTTTTCAGTTAGGGGTTGTTTTGTGCATCCGAACAGCAGCGGTTCTGCCCGCCCCTGTGTGCACAGCCCAGGGCTGTGCCTGCTTGTAGCAGCCGTGCAGTCACTGTTCATCCTCAGCTGCTGCAGCACTGAGCCCTGCCCCGTGCCTTCTGCTCCATCTCAAACAAAAACCATAAAAGCAAACGAGGAAAAAGCCAATTATTTAAGAAGGTAAAATCCCTGCTGCCTCTGCTCTGGGCTGCCGCCTCATTTCTTCACTTCTGTTTGTAGAAATAAATGTTTCCGAGGGGGCCAAAAGCAAACAGCTTTCTTCAGAGCCACTGAGGGTTGTGGAGATGAGTGGCTACAGCTGTAGGGGAGTTTCTCTGCCCCGCTCGCGCCTCTAACGCGAGCTCTTTAACCTCCAGCGCCGCCGCCTCTTCCCTCCATCTCTTCCATTCGCTGTGAGCAGCGCCTTCGGGCTCCTCCGTGGGTCGGGGGCCGAACTCTCCCCGCAGCTCCGTGCGGGTGGGGCCGGGGCGCTCCTCCTCTGCAGCGGAGAGGGAAAGGGAAAGCGAAAGGGAAAGAGCGGGCGATGTCCCCGCAGCGGGACCGGGGCAGGCGGCACACGCAGCCCGCAGCGAGGGGAAGGTAAGCGGGGAACGGGGATGGGGGAGCGGGGCGGGGGCTGCCCCGACCGGGGTGCGCGGAGGGGGGGTCGGACGGAGCCCCGGTACCGGGACGGGGTGCCCCGAGTGGCCGCTCCCGCAGCCGGTGCGGTTTGCGGTCCGACCGAGCGCTGCTGCTGCGCCGTCCGCCGTGGGCAGGTGCGGGTTGAAGGGGAAATAACGGCTTCTTTGGGATCGGGTCTAACCCACCCGCATCGGGTACCCCGCATAACTGCACCGAAGGACTCCTTTCTCCCTTTTTTTTTTCCCTTTCTGCCCTTCCAATTCAGTTATCTGAGCTGTTGCGGTTTTGTTTTTGTTTTTGCTTTTGCTTTGCATCCCGGCTGTTTGCCTTTGCCTCGGATTGCTCTTATGGCTACTTTCTGATGCAGCCAAGAGAGGCAGGGAGGCACCGCTGCATCACAGACAGACGTTGTGCTGGTGGGATCAGCATTTGGGAAGGCAGAACTGGTCCTGCGAAGTCCCTGGGTATAAACTGGTTTATGCAGATTGTAATTAACCAAAACTTTATTTTTCCTTTGTTCTGAGTCACATCGAGTGTGAATTGCAGCTCTGTAAACGCTGGTGGTGGTGGCAGAGCAGGAAGAATAGGAGACGGTCAGGAGCCTGAGAAAGAGGAGAAAGAGATTTGGTTAGAAGAGAGCAGTGAAGCTGTGTGAGCAGGGAGGGCTGCGCTAAGGACATGAGGCAGGCTGAGGCCGGATCAGGAGCTCAGCACAAAAGCTTTAAGGTTGAGGTGGCCATGAGTTCCTTCTCTTTTTCTGTGGTCCTCTCCTTAAAACCAGAGGTGGGCTGCAATCTCAGGGCCCAATGCATCCCTGGGTGTCGGGGAGACAAAGCTGCCAATGGGGGGACTGAGAGGAGCCCAAGGCATCAGGTTTACCAGAGGCAGAGGTGCCAGAGCTGAAAGCCCCACACTGCACCTTTACCCTGGGCAGCTGAAATCCAGCTGTGCCTCTGCCAGCTCTCCTGGGGAATAAAAGCCCCATTCAGCAAACAGCCATCACACAGGACCCAGGCTATAGGACAGGGGGCTCAGTGCCATCAGGGCTACCAGAGATGCTCTTCAGATGCACAGAATGCTCGGAGTAGAGCTTGCAGAGAGCTGAGGTTTGGACAAAGAGCTTGTGGGCGCCAGCTGAAAATGAGGTGAAAATGAGGTTGGGCACAAATAAGGCAGTGGGATTTTCTCAACTCTTTGCCCTCAGCTCAAGAAACAAGGCTGTGAAGCAAGCTCTGGAGTCGCACTATGAGTGTTTTCTGGTGACGAATGCCTTAGAGGAGCTGATAGAATGATCCATTCTGTCCTCAGAGCACTTGGGGAATGCTGGCTGTGGGGCCGAGAGGCAAAACAGCAGCGTGTGCTGCTCATCTCGTGCAGGAAAGACAATAAGGTGCAATAGAGACATGTTTATGGTGTCTTGCAGTTGCATGACGTTGCGGATTTTGGTGCCCAGAGCTGAGCTGGTGGCCTTGGTGTGAGGGTTTGCAGCTGAGCTCTCGTGGCCCTGCACCAAAGTGCTGCTCCTTGACCCCGTTGAAGCTCTGGAGATAAGGCTGCAAATTCATCAGCTGGGAAAACTGCACCAGCTTTCTCAAAACTGAAAGCTGGATGAATTCGGCTCAGCTTTTCGGGTTCTGGAAATCACGTGGTGCCAGGAGCAGGTGGCAGCCAAATGTGGATATGTGAGCTCTGAGCTCCAGCTCTCCCCGAAACCTGCCCTCCTGTTGGATCGAGCCTTCAAGGCTCTCCTAACTGTGATTTTCTGTGTCGTCAGAGCTCGCAGAGAGCCTGGCGGGGCTGGGGATGCAGGCTGGGGCTCCCTCGCTCTCTGAGCTGAGTCAGAAGCAGCTCCAGCTGCCAGAGCCCTTGGCTCATCTCCTGCTTTCTGCTTTGCAAAGCCGCAGAGCGCTCTGCTCTTGTGATTAATGTGCTGCTGCACAGCAACTGCTCCAGCATTTGTGATAACACAAACCTGAAACAAAACTCCCCGTTTCCGCTTATAGCATCAAACGGGAAATTATGTAATTTTATATGTACGGCTTCCTTTACTAAGAAAAGCTTTCAAAGCAGCAACGTTCATTTGTCCAGCAGCACAACGGGCATCAGCTCCCGGTGCCCGGAGCATCGCCTCGCTCCCCCGCCCTGCGCACGGGGCCGGAAGGACGGCTTGCAAAATCGGCTCAGCCTTCACTGACATCAAAGGGAGCTCGAAGCAGCCCGCTGGGATGGAGGCGGGGGCTGACGAGAGCGGCGGAGCTGCGCCTTTCCCCGGGGACTGCAGAGGGCGGTGGTACCCAGCGGCGGCGGCCCCAGGAACGGAGCGGTGCCGCTGTGGGCCGGGTGCGCCAGCACTGTGATGCTCGGGAGCTGCGTGCTGCTGCTGCTCTCCTTCCTTCCCCGGGTGGAAAGGGGCCTACCCGCAAGCGAAGCAGTGTCAGGGCACGCACAGAGCTCGTCTCGCCCTATTCCGAGTTCTCTGCAGGTGGAAATTGCCCTTGCAGGGGGCAGGAGAGCTGCAGCTGCGTTGTTCTCGGGCAGTGTGTGTTCTCTGTGGTGTAGAGGCTGATGGCTGAGACTCGGAGGCTGGAGGATGCTCTGACAGCTGAAGGCATCCTCAGAGCACAGCCAGGGCAGAGCTTTGCTTTCACTTTGCTTTGGTTCTCTGCTGGGCTCCTTTCCCTTCTCACCTCCTTTTCTCTCACACACTGGAAGTGCAGTTTGTGGCTGTCGGTGCTTCTCAAGAGCGTTCCTCTGCTCCCAGTCGATCCCAGCAGCTGCTGCACACAGTGCCTGTGCTGTATGGCAGGCATGGGGCATTGAGTTGCTGCCAGTTCACTGTGCCTGCCTTCCCTGGGACCCAAACCTCCCCCTGCCAGCCCTGTGCAGGAAGCCTGGCACAGCTCTGCTCTGTTCCTACCCGTTCCTTGTTCTCAAAGCCAAACTCAGCCCCAACAGCAGCTTCAGCTGTGTCACATCTCCCGATGTTCCAGCACATAAACCACTGTGTTTATGGGGCTCGAGTTCAGCTCAGTGGTGAAATGCACAGAGCTTCTGCATGGGCTGCAGCACAGCTGGAGAGAGACGCAAAAGCGTGAGAACCACAGCCGTTCCACTCATTGCTGTGCCCGTGAGCTCTATGGGGCTTCATTTCCTTCAGCGCCTCTTCAGCATCACCACAGCCTCAGCCTCCTGTTTGTCACACACCCGGGGCTCACGCCGTCCCACCCTTCCTGTCTCATCTGGAGCTGCTGTGGGGAAGGAGCTGCCATGGCAGCCGTGCTTATCGCTCCCCAGCAGCTGGGGATGCCTGGCAAGCACAGCCCCATCCTGCCAAACTCGGCTGCAAGAGCTGAAAACAATCTACTGTACGTATATTATTATTTTTTTAAGATGAACAAGTCTTATCAATATAGCTGCTATGAGGCAGGATGGAGAAATTACTGTGTGCCAAAGGCCAGAGCAATGCCAAAGTGCTTTAGGATGTAGTTGTGCACAGTGTGAGTTACACTCTGACATGGATCATGCTTCACTTACCCCACACAGGGAAGATGTACATCTGTTCTCCTTAATGCCCTCAGTGCTGGCTCTGCCACGGAAGCCTGCAGGGAGAGCTGGGCTCCTCCCCACCTGGGGCCATCGATGTGCCATTAAAGCACCAACGAGGTGTTCAGGTCCTTCTCTTCAGCCTTTGTGATTGTTTCAGCAAATTACGTCCACAATTGCTCCTTGAGAGCCAGACGAGGATCCCTGGAAGTGGGGATCCAAGATCCCTGGAAGTGGGGCAAATCACCGCCCCTCAGCCGCTGCGTTGGCACTGCAGGATCAGGGGGTGGTTCTGCAGGTGAGACAATTAACGGGAACCCAACTTAACGAGGCTGTGTGCTGCTTACACAACAATACTGGTGTTCAGCTGGCATGCAAGTAATTGGCCGGTGACTTCACCTGAACTCTCCCACTCGCTATAAATACCTTCCTTTCCATCAGCAAGTGAGCGTGAGGAGTGTCTGCAGAACCAGTTCTGCCACCTCTTTACAGGAAAAGGTTCTTCTGTGCAATTCTCATAAATCACTGCTGTCTGAATGAGAAGTCCCACCCCACCTGGATGCCAACAGCGTTGGGCTGCCAGCTTCAGCCTCTGCCCAACGCTCTCTGCCAGTGTGTGCAGATGAGGAGGTCCCGGATGGCAGCAACTCAGAGTCTGTGCTTTCCCTACTGTTACCCATATATCTGTTAGAAAGGAGAGTTGTATCCTGGCCACCTAAATCACAGGATCAGTGAAATACAGAAACCTTCACATCCCTCAAACAAATGCATTGTTCCTCCCTGGAGGAAGCTGGCCATGAGTTTTCAGTACAGATGTGGGATGCGTGGGTCTCGCTTCTGCCCAGCTTTGGGTTTCTTGCCAAGTTGGCAGCATCCCCAGAGTATCCTGATCAATGATCCCTTCAGGGTCTGCTGACTCTGGGAAGTCCCTGGTTAGGATATATGTATATATTTCTTCTCCTGACATGCAGCACAATGGTAGCTGGGTTTGCATGCAGCAGCTGTGCGCAGGACGGCCGCTTGGTCCCACTTGTGAGCACACACGTGAGAAGTCTGAAAAGTGAATTCAGTTCTCATTTGGAGAAAGCTGACATTTATCATCCTCGCTGTCTGCATGCCTGGAAATTCTGGGTACGGAGTTAATGATCTCCAGAGGGTAATAAAGCCAACGGCTCCCAGACAGCCGTGCTGGGGGACTTGGTGCTGTGCCCATTGATGCTGCCAGCAGTGAGAGGTTGCACGAGGACTGCTGCACTGTGCAGTGTCTGTGTGACGGGGACACGGCCTTTGGAGCAGCCTTGCTGCAGGTTCAGTGCCCTGCCAGGCGTGCAGCACAGTAAGAACTGTGCTTCTCGTGCTTTGCAATCATCTTAGCTGCCTGCTCTTAGTGCGCGTGCAAGAGCTTTTATTTGTCG